GCCTGCGGTTGAATATTTTATTTCGCCGATGGTTGATGGAAAATGTGCAATTTTGTGGGATCGGCGTAGTACTGCGAAAACATGTGTGCATGTTTTACAAATTTGATCCATCGTTTCAAAGTAAAACTCAAATGACTCAAAATAAAGAGCGGAAATGGGTCGCCTGCATACGCGAATGGTTGCATAGTAATTAAATTAATGGGTAGCCGTTGGCAATGCCATTGCCAGGTCATTGGAAATACGCTCGTTATAGCCATAGACCATGCGAAACAGTACATTGGCTACGTTTACACCGTGCGTTTAGGCCGCGGCCTATACAATAGATGTCCTTGTTTATCTTGTAGGTTAAACAAAGACACCTATCGTATAGGTCGCGAACTAAGCGCACGGTGTAAACGTAGCTAATATCTGGGATACATGCTTTTTTGTTATTGTGTTTTATTGTTTCAGTTTTTTCCTTTCGCCATTTCGAAAAAAGAAAGTCACGTCATATGTCCTAACGTGAATCGCATAAATGTTCACATTCGAAAATCGTCGAAATATATTGACATATTGAATGTCATCCATTTGTATCACATTATTGGAATTACAAGGAACTGTCGAAACTGTTCCTCATCAATTTTGATGAGTTTGGATACGTTGATGTGGAGCACCAAAAAATAGAAGACTCATATTATTTATTTGCTTATCAAGGTTTGTAAATAAACCTTCGAAAATAACAGTTTTTTTATTTTCGGCGAATAGCTAAAATTCGAAATTATGAGGTCTATAATGTCAAATTTTTTTAATTTACTTTCATTCCCAAGTATTGTTTCGACCCGTAAACCTTAAGATAAGCAGATAAAAAATATGGGTTTAATATTTTTTTGATACAACATATCCAAAGCTCATCAAAATCGGTGAAGGACAATTCTAACGATTCCCTTAAAAAGGCGAGGAAGAAAACAACTGAGACTATGTAGAAAACACAGCAAAATATTTTATTGAAAATTATTTTCGTATTTTATACATTATATCATATTTTACACAGCATTATAAAAAGTCGTCGATACAATAGCCTTATCGTCGTCATTCCTATAATCTCGATGCTCGTCACGTTAACGCGACAAAGCAAACATAATCGACGCGTATCGCATTTGTCGACTGTTCGCACGTGTGGCGATAAATTTTCGTGCAGCGCGTGTTCTAGGAAGTACTTTCCGGGGCACGTTTAACAAGGGTGCAAGCGAATTGTGGTAGGCCCGATAACAGGCAAGCACGGGGTACGTTAAGTTTCGAAACAAGTACGATCGTAAAAGTTTACCAAGTTCGAGCCAGTTTCGACGCGGACGGTGATGGTGGCGGCGAAACCGGCATTAAATATGAATCATAAAAGAAGCATAAAGATAATTGTATGCTAATAGGGCAAGCGTATGCGCCGCGTCGTCCACAATGGCTCAGCGTCTCCCGTTATTACCTATGTATCTGCTTTACAATGAATACCTATGTGCTCGTATAGCCGCGACGCGATACAACGTCGACGTTAGCCAATTTCGTGCGATCAACTTTGCCGCAACTATCTACCGCGTTGTGCCCGGAAAATACATATACTACTTAAATTAAAGATCACTCGTTCGTTTTTCGTGGCCGCCGTTCGCCGATGCTCGTCACGTTTAGCAATTATTTGTGATCGCATCGCCGTTATCTTCGTGCTTTTACAGTGAAGAGACTCGAACGCTCTCGGAACGTAAAATAGGGAATACAATTTTAATAGTGTTTCACGGAATCACTCTTTTACTGGCACCTAAAATCGTTTGATTATTGCGTACGTTTAAATTTCGTTTTCTTGTGGCAGCGCTTAAACTTTTGTTACAGACACATGAATGTCGAAATAAAGTCTAACTAAAATTATTTCTTGATATTAAAAAGATTTGTATAATCTTGTTAGATATTCGAAGGTTTCCCTTTTCTTTTCTCCCGTTCACAGTATGTATTTCTCTTTGAATTTTTGATAGGGAACAGACAGTGAGGAACTAATATACAGAGGCAATTTTTACGATGTAATATCGCAGACGTTCTGTACGTCATAATAATGCTTCGCCTTGCCTGTAATACTTTAGAGAAGCATGGCACGATCTCTTTGAAGCTCGCAAAACTTTAAATCTTTAAACAGTGTACGCGAACTCATTAAAAGTTCTTTCTCAGAAAGGATAAAACGGGATGTATTGACGAAGTTGGTTTAGAAATACAATGAGTTTGCGAACATCGGGTGCTGGTTTGCGGCCGATTCTTTTTATCTAGTGATGCAAATAAAATAAGAGCTTGACAGGCATTCCAGGAAGATGATCCGCAAAAAAAAAAAGAAAAATTTTTCATGTCAAGATAATATTCTTTTCTCAAGTTATCTAAAAAAATATCACGGTTGCGCATATTTAAGAAAACGGTATTTTAATAGAGAATGCGTTTGGCATTTATCCAAGATTTTCCATTAGTAAAATGCAATCTCTCCGCTGCAAGGAACTTTTCAAATTAAATATCACAACGCGTGTTATTTGCTGCACGTGGAGTAAACTTTTTCCCCTCGTCGACCCTAATTCTACAAACGGTCGAGGCACGCGGAAGTGAGTCTTTGGAACTTTTAAAAATGTCTGATAAAAAGAAAAAAGGTAGTCGTTAGAACTTTTTCAGGACGTACTTGACCGATCTGGTGTATGGACTCGCGGGCTGATCGAATTTATTATTTGGAACAAAATCGACGCCACGCTTTTGCGGCGCCGAGGGGTGCAGCGGAGCAGAGCGAAGAAAATAAGACGAGCGCCGAGACTGTGGCAGATAGCTTTTCACGAGGTCGTGAATCGGCAACGGTGAGGAGGATCTCCTTGACCGCTTGCTAGCTCTCAGAGAGTAAATCGTCCCCGAGAGCTTTTACGGGTTTTGACGAAAGCGCACCGTCACGATGTGTAAACCATGAGACCGTTCGACGATTCTACGAATCTCACCCTCTCCCGGGAGAGATGGAATCGAGGGGGACGGGGATGGGATTCGACTGAAAGGCGAATCCTTTTTACGAGCTCGGATACATACGCCCGAAGGTCGAAAGGAACGAGAGCTACTCGGTGCGATGTCCCGAGATCTTCTGCGCGCCCCGCTGCAGTCTCATTGCGGAGTCACGAGAATCCGAGGCAAGCAGCGAGACTCTTTCCGATTTTCCGAAAACCGCACACGAGAGCGACTTTTACCCCTCTCGAGTATTGCCACTTCGCCCGTATCGTCTCTAATGTAAAGCATTGTAATCTAAATATGGATAAGGCAAGACGCACGCGGGCTTTATTCGCGATACCAAGATAAATATGTAATACGTATGTACCCAGGTTGCGCACATTCGGTGTCATCGATCTATCTGGAATCGATGATGTATACGAAATTCGAATCAAATTTGTAAACGTAAAACATATGGGACGGAGAGAGCGCATTTCCTCTTTTCTCAATTTCGATCCTATTCTGTTTTAATTCATGTTTGTCGTTAATAACAGATAAACGATCAAATGCAATCTGATGCTAAAACTAAAATATTCAGATAAAATGGTCATTGTACAACCTTAACTGAATAACTTTTCCACAGCACCACGTGGAAGACCTTGACACGTCGGTCAAGGTGGCCTCACCGATGCTCGCAACTCTACGCGAAATATTCCAATGTCATTCTCTCTTCTCCGGGCATTTGCCCGCCCTAACTATCTTTCGAGGGCACTCGTGCCGAGCCGTACAGTACTTCCACGTGTGTAGCACACAATATACGCGCGAGAAATCGATTTGCCATTAGAGGATTCGGACTTGGTATTCCCGACAATTTCTGACCGAACGAATTGAAGTTTCGACCGAGTCATTGTTGTTTTCGACTGTCGAGGAGTGAGTTCCATCGAACTCCACATCCTTTAGCCGATCGAGTCACCAGGTAGACCGCAAGTGATCACGATTAGAGGTGAGGAGGTCAAAGTAGGACGGACTTTGACGCGCGGCTCGTTTGATGGTGGTATGTAAGAGATAATTGATGACGTTACGGTTCATTGCTAACCTCACTGTTACCCAACGCAGACAAATATTGACAGCTTCCGATCACAAAGCGGTGGGCACTATCCTTTGTACGCGTTCCACGCACCACTGCTTGATGTCTGCTCGGTTTTCCTATCGAACCGCTGAGCTCGTGGGTAAATCAACGTCCGCATTCGACGTGCATGTCGACTTCCCTAAATTAAAGCGTCCCGCTCGTCCGTTCGCATGGGCCGTACGTAAATTCATCCCTTTCTCTCCCTTTTCGTTTGACTCTTTGATACAAAAAGTACCTCTTTCGGTGCTTGTTTTATGGCTGAGTACTTTCATACCTCAATTGGGATTTAAAAACAATCGGTAGATTTAGACAGATCGCATCGACCAAAAGGATAAAATATCCGCGCGAAAAAAGTTCGGTGAGATCGGTGAAAGCTAACGCGAGGGAAAAAAAATCGACGTGATTTGTAAACGTTCCGTATACGTCAACAAAGTGCCGACAAAGGGAAAACCGCGAAATTAATTAGTCGCGACAACGGTACAATTCTCGAATGCGGATACGCGTCAAAGGGATCGTGCAGTGATTCCGGAACGCGATGTAAGTTGCCTCCTCGCCGCGATCAGAGCTTTGACTGAAGAGGAATGAGAGTCCGGCGAACATAGTTCCGAGGAACATAGTTTCGCGAAGGTCTGTGTCTGCATTGTTCGTCTTCGCCCAGTCAATGGGACTGTTCGTGTGTTGAGCTTATAGGTTTCCTAGGACGTACAACTCGCACCACCGAACAAAAATTTAATTTGCGATACTAAATGATATGTAATAAATAGTAGGCGATAGAGTATATAGAAGAAAAGGGGGAATAAACGAGAAACAATTTATGAATGTTGTACAGAAATTATGTCTAATACTAATTTAAAAAATTTTCATACGATTAAACTAAATATAAATTACATACAATATTGACATATCCGTCCGATAAATACTATTAATTTTGAATTTCCTAAACTGTGATGAATATTCACATATTTTAAATTGTCTAAGTGTAAGTAAATTCATACGAACACACATTACGGGTCAGTAATCTGCTGACAGATGTATATACGGATCGAAACATTGGAATTATTGCCATCCAATCGCCATGTCAACCATTGTACTTGTTCGTTTTAATTAAATCTATGTATTTTCGTATTTCTATATCAGTCGTTATCTCACCCGTCCGTGGACAGATCCTCGCAAGTCTGGACCCAAGTGTACTGTTGCGGAGGCAATCGCTCTTCAAAGAGAACGTTCATGCAAACCGGTTAGTAACAAGTTTCGCAAAATTCAGTTAGGCGATCTACATGGCTCGCGGCGAATCATCTGCTCGTTTCTAACGAAGCCCGGGACGTTAATGTTCTTCTGATCCGCGTAATCGTTCGATCTAGAAGTTGCCGCTCCCTATCGACGCCGGCGCTCGTGTTGTGCTGATAGCGGCAGTTTAGAAGTTTCGCGACGGCGGCCGGGCCTTTCAGGCAAACTCCTTCATCTCGGATTCGAGCTTGTTGATCACCCATTGCAACCCTTGTCGACCCTTAAACGAAAATAAAATATTACTTTCTTACGCGAAGAAGCGCGTGATGCTATTGCAGCCGGTGTCATTCATAAATTTTTATAAAATGCGCAAATATATCACCGTTTTATGAAACATTTTTTATGAAACATGACAAATCTTCGATACCGTTCGCCGAATTGAAAAAAAGCGTCATTAGCATGCATAGAAAAATTTCTCAGACAGAAGTCTGCATGTTTCCCAAGAGATACTTTGTGCATCTCTCTGTTTATTCGATCGTAGAAAAACATTCGTTTCCTAAACGTTAGAATACGTCATGATTCATATTGTCGGAATTGTAAATAAAAATAATTTTACAAATAATAATTTATAACAATATTCGACCTCGTCAAATTTTTAGTAAGTTGCATATGCAAGAGAAATATCTTAATAATAAGAGATCATTTACTTTGCTCGCGTTGAAGGAGATTTTTGAAGCTAAGAGATCCTCCATGTAGTTGGTCAGTGGTACCCCTCGGACGGTGACCACCGCTTCTTGTGTGAGTAACGTCTTGGTGGGATCATCCGGATGGGGCGTATATCTGACAGCTTCGTCTACAGCGATATAATTACCGAAGGTTAACTGCAAAAAACAAGAATAATTTATCTGATCAATGCGAACCGTGGTACATTCTATATAATAGTCAAGTAAAAATGACTCTCGGTATTTTTATTCTTTGAATGAACAGAGCTGATTCGCATCAAATATTACGCGTATTATGCAGATTACATAGACTTTGATAAGACGCGCGGCTTGCGTTATCAAATCTATCATACCGTAAGAAATACATCGTCTAATACATTCACGTCACAGTGTACTCGTATCAGAAATTTCAGTCGTTTGTATCGATCACGGTGTGCAACTTGGGAAGTTAGCAACCCTCGGGGTAGATGGGCAGTCGAAATTATCGAGATGGAACGTTACGAAAGTGACGTAGACACCCTTGAATAATCAATGCCATTAAACAAACAAACGAATCGGCCGTAACTCTCCCATCACGGAGAAAAAAAAACATCCAGCGCGCGCTTCCACTTCCGTGCCTTTCATTACGCTACATTTTTCCCTCGCTTTTTTCCGTTCTATTTCGGATGCATTATTCGATGTGAATATTTCTGAGCTACTTTTACTATTATTTTTTTAAATCTCTCTTTTTAAATAATTTGTACGCGATATTTATACGTAGCGAGCGTCCAAACTAATTTTTCGATTATATGATACCCATTATATGATACAGGTTCTATATATATAACAAGATTGTATCGATAAAATTATTTTTCTATTTTCTCCAATGTAGTTTTCTTCTGAATTATAAATATCATTTCGTCCTATTTGATATTCGGAACTCATGAACATCGAAAACTCAAATACGCTCTGTTTATACTGTACGATCCGAAGGCAGTATTGGCACAACATTTTACGATATCGAGCTGCGGCGAAAACTAAACCGAGTTTGCGAAAGGACCGCGACTATATAATGCAACCCCACGTCGAATGACCGCAATATTGTATACATATATCGCAATCTCACATCAATGCGCCGTAGTGCGGACGTGTTAGGAACCGAACATGTAGCTACGCAGATCCAATGTATACGGTATGCCGCGACTAATCGAATACATAGAGAAACGTGGGATATAACAAAACCGGAGAGTAGCACGCGTTGGAAGACCATCTCGAATTCATTACAGTGCGCCAGTGCGTAAACACGCGACGCGAAAGCGACAAACAGCACTCCGCGGAGCGATGTGCGGTGTGCTTTTGTTGCAGCGCGGCATACCGTTGGTACGAAGCACCGTTAGAGTGCAGCGTGCGTCGCGTTGTCGCGTTGTCGCGGATTTGTTTCCTGCCGCGAGAGAAACAATCACCCAATGCTGCTTGCACGACGATGGCGAAAGGGGGGGGAGGGGTTGGAAGAGCGCGAGAGGATTGAAAACTAGCGCGGCGACTGAGCGCCTCGAGCCAGTTACCCCAAGGCCTAAAGTTTAATCTGTGTCGCTGTCATAGAATTTGTACTAGCTGAAACGTATTTGCTGTTGGTACCGTATAGCCTTCGCCACTGTAAATTTGCGGCTGGGAAAATCGTGGTTTCGATCTCTTGTATCCACGACGCGGGTGTACCTTTAGGCGCTGTTCAATTGGAAAATCGTATAGCCGGACCGTTATTTATCATTTTTGCATTATAACAATCTAATCCCCTAAAGCCGCATCTTAGTACACAGAAAGCTAAATGAAACATACACGAGCAAGTTGCGCTAATGAAAATTCATTTAGGGAATTTCTCCTTCGACATAGTTTTAATTAGTAAAGTTTGAATCAACACTTCTCTGGTTTACTACAGGAAAATGAATATGTACGTTATGCATCAAATTAGTCAAAATCAAGAGATATAAAAAAAATAATCATAATTTTCCGTCAGGATAAAAACGATTCTAAAATGATTCTAGAATGGGCCCTAACATCTGCGCGTGGTCTCACAACATGTGAACAAGAGGTCAGCAGAGATACACGTTATTATGAGCTTCGGATGAGCGCCATAGTGGCATAGCACGCCGTGGGGTGGAACAATTGAATCGCAGGGGCGCAATACGTTTCACGAGGAAATTAACGCCCGCGGCATATTGTGGGTCCGCGACTATTCCAGATATAGAGTGGTGCGGTGTTGTACTCTATGGACTCTGCCATATTGGCAATCAGTGAAGCCGACTGTGTTACACCGCGGTCAACTCGCCGTTCAACTTCGCTTCGCCGGCACGGCGATTTCCAAAGCCGTGACCCACGGACGTGAAGGAAGAAACGAAAAATTAACATTACGCCCGCGAGCTGCTGCGTTTCATGGAGTTCACGGTCGGCGAGTCAAAAACAAAGACGTCGATTAAATCCGAAGGAAATGAAATTCGCTGGTATATAGACGCTGCGTGTGCTACACTGCTACCATCCATGTGCCATATCACTGCAGTAAAATTCACGGAATTACATCGACGACGGAAGTCGATCCTGAATGTGGTGTAAGCCTGAATTTCGTAACGATCCTGCCATATCGCGTTGCGATCTTGGTATAGAAAATTATTACTCGCAGGAAATGTAGTAATGCTTTAGTTTCGATATGTTAAGAGACTTTTTGTATTTGTGATACAATAAATGTAGAATATTTAGATTATGTATCACGTATTATGATACGTAAATATTGTACGTTTAAAAAAACATTAAAATATATGAAGAATACAACAAAACGTAGTAATTATCAGCGGAAAAAGAGAAGGATATTAAATTTCACCATTTAGTAATATATTTCTTAAGAATTTCGAATATATATTTCAAGTATAACTATGTTATACAGATCATGGAACACGAAGAAAAGCGAGACTCGTAGCAATTGAAGAGCTGTTACTAAAGTACACGACTGGTTATTTAAATAAGATACTGTTATTGCAGCTCTCGCTGCACCGCACCGCAACGGCAAGCTCGCCAATACGAAATACTAGTATTGTTGTTGCCAGTATTGTACTGTGTCCTTAATTTTCTCTCACGAAAAGGACATTTCATTCGCGCGGAGTACATTCTACTATATTTCCCTAATGACATTCAATTTAAATATTTCGCTATAATATTTCAATATAATTATTTCAATAACTTAAACGAAACTGTATTCCGAAAGCCACATAATTAATCATCGCTCTCTGAAAACAACATGCTTGTTATTAGTTAGATACTGGAGGAAATGCTCCTCCAAGCGTCTAAAGCTGCAAAGATATCATCTTGCTTTTTTGGAAACTGTCTGATAATATTCAATAGGACTTACTGCTGCACAGAGAATTTATGCACGAAAGAAGGATGAGCGTTTTAACGGCGAGAAAAAGATAAATGGAAAGAAGTGTAATTGGCGAGACGAGAGATTCCATTGTCATGTCTGTGACGGGATGTATACTCTTGTTGGAGTAAATTTTTTAACCGCGGCGCGAAAAACGCTTCGCTTAATACAAGATAGAATTACGGCAATCCGCAGCATTATATCAAAGAGCAGTCGCTTCTCTCTTTCTTTCGGCTCCTGTTCCAATTCAGCCTCTTTCATACGAACGGTAACTAACTGCACGAAACAGAAATCCCTGTAGCTTTTGATTTTCGAAATGTCCCGGCGAGTGACGTATGTAAATAGTTTTTTGCGCGGATTGAAAATTGTAAGCCTTTAAGCACGCATTTACATGCCATAGCTGCGAGAATTTTTTCACGAATATAAACGGATAATAAAGTAACGGATGATTGAAACGCACGTTGTAAATATATATGTTTTATTCGCCGATTCGTCATGAATTTTTTTTTTACGCGGATTATCACTTTTCGTAAAAATTCCTGTGTCAGATGTTAATAACGGTCGTGCTACACTGCGAACGCGAAATCCGACAATCGTATTTAATCCCAAGCGGATCTCCACGGAAACAACCGTGTTTCTCAGTGCTGATATAAATTCTTTACACGATGAATATTCAACGAAGTTTGTTCACAGTTCGCGCAACGTCCTTTGAACAACAGTCTAGTCTCTTTCGTCATCAGGTGCCATCAACGTCTTAGGGTTGCAAACGAAGAGAAAAAAAAGTGTTATACGCCGCAAAAAGGTGCATCGACGTAGAATGGACGAGATTTAATCGTATCAAGCCAACGATCGATCGTCCCCGTCAGCTGCGAATCTGTCGTTGACGCCGAAAGTAATTAATTTCGGCCTCTTTTTCCGGCACGACCGCGAAGAGCAGTGGTGCATCGTCGTATTGACGAATGCAAGCGACGTTACGCGATGCCGCGGGTGCATCGGCTAATTGAAAATTTTTCTCGTCAGTCGCGCGTCGAAACCGATGTTTGCCAATCGCTCGGCCTCTCTGTGCCAAAACCCCCTCGTTTGCTTTCCATTTATCGGTGGACGTTGCAACGTGGCCGCGCCCGATGACGAGGTATCTCGGACGATTTCTGAATAGCTACTTCGAAAGCGTCGCATCAATTTGCGACGGCACTAGCGAAATGAGCATTTCATATTGTACGAATACAGTATATAAATTGAATTACAACAATACAGGAATGAGAACAGGAATATCGTAAAATAAATAGAGACTCAGTTTTCATTTTAAAACTAACGACCTACGTCTTTTTTAAATAATCTAGGTATATAAATCGAAACACCTTACCACATCTATTCTATATTAGCGCGCGCGCGTTCAAAGAAACATTATTTTTTACACCGAAAGAATGATTTTGCTAAAGTAAAATTTAGTTAGATACAGATCTGCAAATAATTTTGGAATATCAAAACTTAAACATTGATAACAAAAACATTCTAATAAACAGTTTAAGCGCGTTTTACATACCTTATTACTTTAAAGGTCCAAATAAAATTATTTTTAGATCTGTAGCTAAATTTTTATATATACTTCAACAAAAAATAAATAATAGGTATATAAATATAGATAGTAAAGGAGAGTAAACTAATCTTTCACGTCGAAATATCATCGATGTATACATAACGTACATATCTACTATATTTTCTCGCAGAAGACAGAGACATGTTGACTTAAACTTTCCTAATTAAAACCTTGTTT